TCTCTTCCATATCAAGCTCATGGTATTTTTGCTTTTTAATATAAAAGTAATACTGCTTAATATAATTAATAATAACAATAATAACAATAATAACAATAATAACAACAATAACAACAATAACAACAACAACAACAACAATAATAATAATAATAATAATAATAATAATAATAATAATAATAATAATAATAATATTAATAATAATAATAATAATAATAAATAAATCCATAAGCAGTCAGCCCTCTTTCTCCATATAATTATATGGACAGCTGTGAATGCTGTCAGAATCTACCTCCATAAACAGTGCTGTTGTTCTGTAATTCAAGCAGGCTGTTCCCCTAAATACACAGCCCTCCCATCAGCCATGGTGTGTACCTTGTACTCCTGGATGACTCCATTTTGGTGATCAGGAGGGGGAGGATCCCAGGAGATGCTGATGCTSGTGCTGTTGTGGTTTCCAACTGTCAGGACAGTGACAGACTGAGGAGGGGCACTTGGAGCTACAGCAAGGAGAGGGAGCAAAAAGAAGGCATTAATCCATTTGCYAGGGCATGGATTCTGCTGAAGCAGTGGAAGAGAAAGCAGACAGTAGGGAAAGCTCACACTCCCTGCAGGCCTAGGGATTCACTTTTTGTCAGGCACTGACARTGTTGAAAAAGGTCCTTCTGAGCAGAAGCATAGGTTTGAATGACAATGTGGAATTTGTGGCAATGGAGAATCAATAAAAATCACTCCCCATTTATTTATGTTGGTCATTTCTTAAGTTTGCACCAGAATTTTCTCACACTTGCCTTTGTTTTCCATAATATGCATGGGTAACTACGGATATATCAACAAAGTCACATGTGAAGCTACTTCACCTGGCCTGGAAAGTATTTTGGTTCTTCTATTTCTACATGGTCTAATAATCATGCACACAGCAAACACTCAATTATCCTTTTTTGTTTCCTATTTGCTCTACAGGAAGACACTAACAGGTTTAAATGTAGAACTTGTGACTCTAAAGTGGAAAAGGGTTAAAATGTTCATGGCTTTACATCAAATGCCAGTGAACAGGGCAGGTGCTACATTAGGTCAGATAGATACTTAAGTCCTTTTTTTCCCCTAGGCAAATTGCTTTCTCTTCAGAGTCCTGTTCAGTTCAACCATTCACAGCTGTTTGGCTGGTCACTGCACATCARGGCCAATTCTACAAGACAACTGCTTGCCAGCCCTGCTAGTTGTCTAGAAGCATCAAAAACAAATAAAAATCACAGTTGTTAGCAGCCAGAGCTGTGCTGGCAGAGCCCCTCTTGCAGCTCCACCAGCAGCAGGGTGCCTCTCTTGGCTCAGGACACGCTGTTGTGGAAAAAGCCCCTCTGTGAGCATCTGCTGCATCTCCTTATGGGGCTACCTCACCATGGCTGTGGCTGCCGTGGCAGAACACTCCCAGTAAGGTCCTCCTCAGTCACCCAAAACTTCTTGCAGCCCCCCCCTTGCCCTTCCCTTGCTCCCAGGCAAGCRCTGAAATTCCACCACAGTGGCAAGCTAGGCCACCGAGGTCGACTGTGTTATATTAAGGTATAGTCCCCTGAGGGGAAAAATTTATTGATAGCAGCTGCTTGGAACTGGTCCTAGAATTTATTTATTCCATCTCTCCCAGTCCCTCTACCCAGTTTTCAACAAAACTAATAGAAAAARGCCAGGGAAGTGTGAACTAATAAAGCAAGCATATAGTGATACCTCTCCAGGACARTTTTCCAATCCACAGAAGCCTGTTGCTTAGACACATTCTGCTGCAGGAAAGTGTCTTTGTGTTTAACAAATACTTATGGAATTTGTCTTCTACATATTCTTCATTGCTTTAAATATGGTGTTAAAACATTTCATTTGAAATATGGAAGCTGATTTTGAAAACTTACAGTAAACCTTCATACCAGAACCTAAAATATTTATCAGTCTCCTGTCCCAAGTTCAAATCTAGAGAATAATCTGTTTTTGGGCATCTCATGTCATGTGCCAAGCTCCCTGACTCCAGCCCCCCTGGTCAGAGAAACWCCTTCACTGCTTAATTGTATGGCAACAGAACTCAAGTCTAATCTTAAACAGATATCCCTGAGTTCATGCCCATCCTTGGACCATGCTTCTGAAAAAGCCAAGAGCCCCTGGCACCTTGTATTAATGTCTGGCAGTTTCCACACAAATAAGCACAGCCACAGAYATCAGAAGTGTTCAAGTCTCCTGAGCCAATTCAGATATTCCTATTGTTCTCCACTCTTTGATTCTGGCTGTGCTCCCACGTCAGAAGCTCCTCAGCACTTGACCTGGCACAGGCKTGTGGAGCCGAGCTCAAATCCTCACCCTGATAACCCTGAAGAACTCGAGTGCTCTGCTGCAAGACTCACAAAACTTCAAACTTGGGTATCAGAGGTGAGGACAAGGAAACATACAAGATTACAGCAGAAAAAGAAATATTTCAGATGAAAAATGAAACACATATTACAGTCCTGGGAGGCTGCACATTTCGACAACTACATTTTCAGGTTATGGTTCAKCTGCAAAGCCAATAGTGCTTGGTAGAGTCTTTGTGACCTTGCCTGATGCAGAGAAACAGTGAACTGGAGGGGAGAAATGGAGCTGTACTGTGGACAATTTGACTCCTAGCCAGCTAGGGTGAAGCATGAAAAGATGGCCTTGGGCTATTCCTTGCAATCGTGCAAAGCATAAAATTGGTGAATTAAATACTTGAATTGTGTATTTTATGGCAAGTGAAATAATTTGCCACAGAGTAAAAAAGTTAGCATTTTTAAAGTCTACAAGTTATTCAACAGCAACAAAACCATGAATAAATGTGTGTGTGTGATATTAATCAGAATATTTTACATGGAAACAATAATCATAAGAGTAGCAAAGCTTAACACTGTATAACTAATTTTTGGTTTTAAGTACAATGGACCAACTCGCTCAAACATTTACTTTCATTATCAAAACAAAAAGGGCATTCAGAAACATAATGTTGTATATGTATACSTGGGGTAAGAAGGGAGTTTGAATGCAAAAGAAATGTAAATTGAGTATCATATTCTAAAATTAAAAAAAAACCAAACATATACTGTATTCATTTGTCTTTGCATTTAAACTGCATGAACATTCTAGTTAATATTCTACCAGTGTGTGTTGGTTTTCTGGGGGGTTTTTGAGGACWCATGACAACTTTGAAGCAAAATTAAAACTGCAGCTGGTAAATGCAGCTGTGAAAATATCATTTCAAGAGCCGCACTAAGGTGAGGAGAAACTGACAGAGAGAAGCTGATAAAAGCTAAGAAGACTTCCATTCCTGACTGTCACAGTTTGTGGTGACAAGCAAGATGCAGGACAAGTATTGCTCCACAACATTATTCAAAAAGAGATATAAAACAGTGSATGCAATTGACGAAAGAAATTATCTGTCTCCAGAGAAAGTATGAAAGAAACAGCGAAAATTATAAAATAAAATCTTTGATTTAGCTCCCCTTATGAGTGTACACATGTATGTATGTAACAGTTCAGCTTCCTTGCTCTGATAATATCACTCTGYAAGCTGGCACCGTGATATAAATTAAGCCACTCGTCTGACACTGCTGCAGTTATTAAAGAGATCACATTGAAAAATAACATTTTTAAAACCGTTTTCTCATTTCCCTTGCTGCTGGCTTGTGGAGAACACCTTGCCTGCTTCTTGACAGGTCAATTATTCCAGTGCTCAGCTTCTTCTTACAGATATGAAAGAACCCAAATCGCTGCTCATCTTTTCCAGACGCAGCCAAACAGAATTCCATTTGTTACCTTYGCAAGGCCAAAGAGGCAGGAGATGGATGGATACTGAACTGTGACAAATGTCTGATCTAGAGGAAAAGTCTAACGGCAGCAAAATTGATTTTTAGAGGTGGGCCTCAGAAGTAACATTGCATGTAAAATCCAATCCAGCAGAAAGCCCCACKATCTTTTGGTCGTAATTTGCCTTTACCAGGGATATTTGCTTTGATGTCGCAAAATAAAACCTTCCAATGCTTGTATCACTCTTCCAAATTATTTTCTAAAAATAGCATAGCTGACATTTTTTAAAAGTCAAGTCTAAAAAAAAATTTCCATTTCAAAATGGAATCACAGGCAACAGAGCATCTTTAAATAGACTGCCATTTTGCTTCAGTGAAAGAGAAGCAAACCAGTGTCATTAAATATCTAGTTGATGCTATTTTTGAAATACATGAACATCCATGTAATTACAAAGATACTATGAGGAATTAAAGGAAATATCTGTAGAACTGCATGCACTAAATGTCTAAATTTTCTCATGGAAGTACCTAATTTTATCACCCAAGGAAAAGGAATAATTTTTTACAGGAGGTGACATTTGTCTGGTGATAATATTATGGGTCCTATGCTGGTGTTTTCTTGAGAGGAGATACTTGTAAACAGAATCCTTGAAGGTTACATTAATCCACAAAGCAGATCCTAGACTGTGAGTTATACTTGTCTGTGGGCATGAATATTTTTTAAAATCTTCACTTATGTGGAAAGATATTCCACATGAACAAAGTGTCCTTTAAGGTAGAARATTACCTAACAGGCTCTGCTGGGAGCTAAGATTTATAAAAGAGAATGTCATTCCTCAAATATTKTATAGAAATAGACAGGAGGTATAAGACCTTCTCTCTTTTACAGCAGTTCTTAATTTACCTTTAGCAAGAGACAGTTAGATGAACTAAATAAACAGCAAGAATCAATTAAAAGTGGACAAGAAAATCTGCTAGTGAGAGGACAAAATCCTACATTTTAATTCCAGAAAAGCAATTTCACCTGTGAAAAGCTTTTAAAAATTTCTGTTTTCATTTAAAAAAGAACAAAACTAAAAAAAAAAMCCTTTGTTCAGACTGCTGCAAAGATAGTCTTCACCAAGTGATTTAGGCTTTATAATTTGAACAAAGAACTGGGAACCCTAGAATCCCAAATTCCAAATCAGGCTTGACTAATGCCTTCCTGCACACTCTTCCACATGTTGGAGGACACTGARTTTCCTCACCTATGAAGCATGAAGTGCATCCAAGCTATCTTCAGTTTTACTAACATGTTGGGCAATAATCATAACAAATCAAAGAAAAAAATGAGTAATAAGTCTGTTCTAGAATTAAAAAGTACTTGGCAATCAGCACTAAATTAAACCTCAGGAGAGTACTGTGAATGATTAAGATGCACTTTCAATAGGAAGGAAAGAGGGCACTCAAAACCCATTGAAACCATATGAACATTTTGAAACGTCACCAGTATTTCTTCCTTTTGCTTTAAAAAAAAAAATCAAAAATCAGTGAAACAGAGAGAAGATGAACCCTCACTGTTAGGACCATCCTACTTTCACAGGAGAGATTCTCCAGGCAATGGCTGCATTACATAGGTGGAACAGTAGGTTTCCAACAGCAAATAATTAAAATTACTTGTATCTCACCTTACTGCCTTAACTTTACAACGGAAACCCAGCAGTCTTGAAGTGCTTTATCACAAMTATGCACAAAGCTATATGCTATAGYTACAAAAGCTTAAGCTTTTCAGTAGTGTAAACTGTTCACTGTGACTGAATCCTGACTGCTTCAGAGAGGCTTAAAAGGTGCCCAGGGAAATCTTCTGCAGAACTGAATGGGGCAGTTTCATGAACAGTGTGCTAACAAAAACTGTGAAGTCATGTGCCCTTGAGACTGGAGTTTCTCCAGACTAGCTAAATATGTGTCCTTCACAACTCCTCATTTCCCAGCCAACTGTTCATCYACATTATTGCCCATTCAGAAAGATGTGCTTGGTATCAAACACTCATCTGTGAGAGCTTACATTTATTTTATTTTCAAAGTGCAGACCAAAGTCTTTAATTGCAGCAGTGTTGGTTACAAAAGTGTGCAGTGCACACTTTTTGGAATACCAAAAACCCCTGTACCTTAGAAGGATGTATCACCTAGAAGAATGTAAGACTAGTACAGTGCTTTCTCAGGGGATATTTACAGCAAAAGCTGAATATTATATTGAATTTTAATGTCACCTCAGTATGTAACAAACAGAAATCACTAGGAGGAAACAGAGACGAACACATGCATACACAGAACAGCCAAAATGGTCACTCTYCATTTCATCTCCAGTACCAAATCTKCCCCTTTTCTGCACATTTTACTGACCTTCCTCTGTGGTGCGAGCAGACTTTGATTCACTGTCCATCCCTTGGAACTCATTGAAATAAGGGCGAACCTTGATTTCGTAAGTGACGCCCTTTTTGAGGCTGACGAGGACAGCGCTGCGCTCGGTCGGCACTTTGACCTCCATGTTCTGCCACACAGCTGGAGCAGGCAGGCCAGATGTTTGGCGGTACAGGACTCGGTAGCCCTGGATAAACTGGGACTGCCGGTCAACCTAGAACCGACATTGAATAATACATCAATAAACATACTAAAGTAAAAAAAAAACAAAATAACTGTATGAGAAGAAAACAAAACATTTGCCTAGAATAATTTTGCCCCCATCAAAAAAAAAAAAAAATTAAGAATTAAGATGCTGAGTTTAATAATCAAACTGCCTTCTTGTAAGTTATTGTTGATTGTCTACGAGCGTTTGTCTTGCATTACWTATAGAATATTCTTCTTATAGAATATTTCTTTCTGTTTTGCTTTCTCCAATTCTATATATCATGACAAATACCACTTTAAATCCTAAAACAAGGCCCCACCCATGCAATAAATCATGAAAAGAGAATGCTGGCATAAGGCTTGCTGCATGTAAACTTACTAAGCACATCTTGGCTACTGATGTGCTGGAACAGGAGAAGAAAAGAAAAACAAATTTTTTTTTCAGAAAACGAAAAGTCTTTGAAGATACCCTACATGCTTACAGTAAGTCCATTATTTGGCTCACAACTCATGAGATGCAGAGCAAAGTAAAATAAACATAAGACAGATGCAGAGAAAACAACTTCCAAAGACATGTGCTGTTTCTCATGTTCATAGCCCAAGCAATCCCATTGCATCCTGGGGTTGTGATGCTCTCAGGCCATCAGATGGAGATGGAATGCTGGTTATGGTTAATATTTTATGTGTTGCTAGGCAAGCACAGTTCAAGATTTGTCTATGGAAGTTTAATAATTTTCTCCTATAAGCAGGATTTTTATTTGAAGAAAAGCTTTATATGTGTTTTATATTGAAGAGGTTGCACGCATTTATTTATCTTCCAAGAAAACCCCAAAACCAAAGCATTATAATGCACAAATTTTCCTGGAAAAAAACACCAAAAACCCYGAAACAGTCAAACCAAGTTGATTGTTGAAAGGAAACCAAACCCAGCTGCTTCTGTAGGTGCCAAAAAAGGAGCAAAGAAAGTGCAGCACAAATAACAAGACTGTACAGCTGGCTGTTTGGTAAATCTGTGTTATAACTAARATTCAACAAGTAGGATATTTCTTATGTTCTTGTCAATTTGCCCACTCAACGATATTCCAGAATTAGAGAAGCATTTGTTTGACTTCTCTTAAGAATAAATGAATTTAAGGCTGGAAACACAAACCACACTCTGTTATGCTCCTCCTATAATCTTGTTACAGTTTATTGAGGCATTCAGAGGGGACACAGATTCTCAGACATTAAAAAGCAAGGCAAGCAAGAAGAAAGCTTTATTTATGAAAGCAAGGCAGAAATGTCTTTCATCAAAACTGTCACTGTTAAAAACCTTGCAACATATGTTACAACAACATTAAGCTTGCATTTTATAAACTTCTCTGCATTCACTTTAAGTGAATTTATGMACTGAAAGAGGGATATAACTCACAATAATAGCTTGTTAATACCGAAAGAAACAAGCTGTGTTTTTAAGAAGAACATTAAGCAGCTGTTTCCAGATGAAGGGAGTCTGTAAATCAGAGTAAATTGTTTTTATCCATGTTTGACTTTGATTAACTAAATGTTTTATGGACATAAAGACTTCATGAACCTCACGTTTGCTACAAAATTCAGCAAAAATATTGCTTTCATCCACTTTGGAATACAGATTTTTAACCTAAATTGAAATATAAGGTTATGATGTTTAACAACCAAACRCTGAGTTTGACTCTTGCCTAACTTCTGAGTTAGAAGCTACACTGAAAAATGGCACAACTTTGTCAGAACTTTCCAGTTTGTCTTTGCTCTCTTTTTAAGCTCCACTGACTGCTGCCTAGTGGAGAAAACAGAAAATTCAGAATTGACTCTACTGAACAGTAGCATCGTGTTGCTACAGCACGGTATGGAAAGTGTTTTGTACAGCACAGCACAAACASAAACACACGCAGCAATTCAAAGGGAAGAGGACCCCTACACAATGCCTATAAAACACCAATTTTCACTCACGCATGCTTTTCTATCTACTTCCACAGAGATAATAAACAAATTGTCCATACACATATTTTCCTCTTAGATTTCTAAGATCCTAACTTAGGAAAGACTAAATGATAGAAGGAACATGAAAGCAGAATGCAGTAGCACCACAAGGCTGTGGGTGCTATAAACTGCMTTGATTTGGGGCTCACTTGAGTTTCACAGAGCTTTGAATTAGTAGCTTGATTACAACAGGGAGGAGTGATTTGCCTAAATATCAGATTACTGGCAGTGATTTCATCATTTAGGGTCTAGGAGGGTACTGACAAAAGAAAATATGATGCATTTTTAATGTTTTCTATAAACATCCAGTTGCATTCAGTATCAAGGAGAGAATACAAAGCTATCTCTCATGCTCAATTAAAGCCAGTCTGAATGAACAGGGCCTTCTGTAAGGTCAAAATGTTGGCAAATCTCTCAGAGGGTGCTTTAATTACTGAGAAAGGTGTTTTTTTTTTTGCTTTGTTCAGAGTTTTCAAATTGATAAAAAGATTACTCTTGGATAATTACATGGATTAGCCAGAAATATTTKTTGGGGTATATTTCACATATACAAACACATACACATTCATACATGTGTGTGTTTGYTTATATATACTTGCACACACGGTCATATGTGATACAAAGAAGTGACTTCACAATTTTTGCCATTTCTGTGGTAATGATGTGTCATGCCAAGAGCAGTCTGCTAAAAATATCCTTATATGCTTAACATTAAAGACATCAACTCAGCAATGCAAAGTTTGGCACACATTCACACCTAGGCGGAGTTGCAGAAATATGCACTGTGACTTGATGAAAGAATGTAATCATTTCTAGGTACTCTTTTTTTTTTTTTTTTTTTTTTTTTTTTTTTTTTTTAATGGTTGCCACTTCCTTGTACAAATTACTCAGCATTATTTCAGTGATTGCAGGAACTCTCTGCCGTGAATACTGGGGTCAGAGAATATTTCTAGTCAGTGATATCAACTCAAGAGGTCTTCAACAGTTGCTGATCTAAAGACACACTTTTTCCCTCAAAGGACAGATGGCAGAAAATGCAGATGCTCCTTTGAAAGGCAGGAGAGAGCAGGTCCCGGGTAGGCGCTGCTCAGCACTGACCTAATGCTTCAAGGGAATCCACATGCAGAATTGGTCCTGTGTGCTCCTTCTCACCTTCTTTTATGATGAGTCCATCGTGCAGGAAGCATCTGCAAAACCATTCTGCAGAACAGGCAACTCATTTTCCCCTGCATGTTCAAACCTGCACATGCCACAGCTGAACTCAAGACAGGTTCAAAGGCTGTTGTCAAAACCATCTAACATACTCGTAATGCAGCTTATGCTGAAGATAGAAGCTCCCTTCAGACAAATCTGCTAATCTGCACCCTAAAGACATTTTGCAATGTGCTCTGTAGTACGCAAATTTCTATCCCAAAATATCCTAAGAGATCCTCTGCTCTCACAGCAGCACCCACAGCAATACTGCAGGTGGGCAGAGTAACTTGCACACTGTGAACCCAGTGGCAGGGACTGACAGAAGTCTCTGGAAATTCAAACTGCAGCAGCATTTATGTATCCTGCAGGAACAAGGCAACCATGGGGGATGGTACTCTGCCAGACTGCCTAAAGGACTTGACTCTTGAAGCTTCCAGTGAAATACATTCATTTAAAATCTACATCAAATTAAAAAAACAGAGGTAAATATATTATCCTTCTGCCTGGTAGCCTCCTAGAAGGCAATCAGGACTTCAAAGTAGCAATTCTTYTGCCGTGTTGAAGAACTGATTTTTATTCCTGCTTCTGCCACAAGGCTTTTTGATWTTGCTGGGGAACATTTCATATTTGGTCACTAATGAAACTTTCAGTTTAATGCCCACTGAGGCTAGAAGTGCTGACCCATAGCTGAGGTCAGCTAAAAAAGCTCTTGGGAGTACAGAAAATGCTCTTGCAATGTGAAACGTTTTAATAAAAGTAAAAATAAATCATGTCCAAGGCTTAAAATTAGCCATTTCATAACAGTGGGCATATCTGACTCCACAAGTCTCATCAGCAATAACTATCTGTGCACCTCACCTCTCTATGTGTAAAGTTAGGATAATAACACATTTTTATCATTGTGATGTTAAATTCAGTATTATTTGTGAAGCACAAAATGTTACGGTTGAGAGCATGACAGATAAGCAAGCATGTGAGACAAAATAATAATTTTTATTCAATGCAAGGTTTCAATGGTATGAATTTAATAAGACCTGGCACCACACAGAGAATAAAGAAGATAAAAAGAAATGTTTAATAGCTCCATGAAGAAGAGAACCTCTATGTGACCAGATAATTACAGCTATATTTTAATATCTATACACAGGAGGAATAAATTTAAGCGACACTGAAAACCTAACTTTTGCCATTTCTCTTCTTATTTTTTAACACTTTGTAAGCCTGACCTTCTTTTCAAAGTGTGTGTGTGTGTATATGTATGTGCACATTTTAAAATTGCAACATGGTCACAGGGAACTATTTCCGAAAATTTAAACTCAAATTTGAAAAAAATAAAGAGAAAGCAAAACCAAAAGAATCTCATAAAGGAGGGAGAAAGTGGTGTTAATTTGCTGTGAGTCAGGATGCCAGAAACTCAGCAACCAAGGACATTCCTTGGCATTTACCCTTGGAATTGCAAAAARCCAACACAAAGAGTCTTATGATTCTCGTGGCACTTCTGTCCTTTTATATGATAGCTACACTATCTAACCATTTTATATTAATAGTGTGGTCTTTATTCTCTAGATAGAGAGGGTTTTTTTCCTAGAGACTGTGGTTAATTAATTGGTTTTGTTCTGGTTGCTGGCTAGTTTCTAATTAGCTGCTTCAGAGATCTTTCTTTGTGTCTTTCTTCCCTYGGGCAATTCCAAATGGCTCTACAGAGGCCTATGTGCTTGTCAGGTGCCATAGGGTCACTGCTTTGAGGGATCTTCCCAATAAGCTGGTACCCATAGCATTTCCAACAATTTTTCTTTTCCTTACCATTTCTTTACTTCTTACTTGTTCAGCAAGGGCACCAAGAAATCYTTTTAGAGGAATATATATATATCACACACACACACATAGAGACATATACATATATAGAAATAAAATACAATGACCTTGGTTACATGGTATAAAACTGAATTCTGTTTATATTGGAGCTGCAGTACATGCTGAAGCAAGGGCCAGCTAATGAATCAGTATTTCTGATAGCTGTCACACCCAAGAAAGGATTTTAAGAAACACCACATGGATGCAATCCAGGTTTACAATTACTCTGCTAACATCCAAAGTTTCTGAACTACTGATCCATCAGCTTGTGCAAAAGGTTTGTTACAAAGGCTAGTCAGTCTGTCCTGGAGGTATTGTGGTTGAAACAGGCAGCATTTTGAGAAAGCCAAGTCAACATCATCAATGGCAAAATGCGGTGACACATACTCTAAATAATCTTCTACAAAAGAAAAATTTGTTGGTTTCTCAATTTATTCTAATCAGTACCCTGACCACTGAAATCTGTCAGAACAAGGATGGTGCATAAGCCCCCATAAATATGGCTGAGTTGTGCAAAAACAACAGCAATCCTTAAAATGCACAATCTATCACCACGCTTCTTATCTCCTCTTGTGTAATCCCCTGCACACATTAAGCTCTCAGCAACATGACATGTAGAAAAAAAGCTCTGAGCATTGCGAATACCCCCTCAGCAGAATTCATCCTATAGAATTCATCCTGTTTTGGTGTTGTGCAGGGCAGTACTATTTTTCTCAATCTTCCGCTCGTGGCTCTCCTTCCTCTGGGCAGATGCCCCAAGAGCAAAGCATTTTTTTGTGGTGTGCAGCATCCTGGGAATTCTGTCCTGCTGTTACAAATCCTTTCCATCAAGCCTCAGGAAGGGAAAGAGAGTAATTTGAAAGCCAAACACTATATTAGAAATTCTACCCGGTAGTTTGACCCCTCAAATAGAAATGTTGTTAAGCACTGCCCAAAAGACTCTGGTCTTCTCTAATGAAAGGATATCCACTCATTGTGGATAAGGCTTGTGCTGGAACACCAGATGTGACACAGTGGGTCAGGCATTAGCACTACATGCTTCTGACTTCACTGCAAGTACCCTATAGGAAAGATATTTTTGAGTCTTGGGTCACTAAATAATAGGGTATTGTCAGAGGTTGCTATGACTTGAAGCAGAAAGTACTTTCTCATACAACAATTTGATGTTGATGTCTAACTTTGATTTTTTTTTGACATGCAGCRTAATGAATCCACAGATCAATTATCCCTTAAACACAGTCATTCATATAATGTTTTTCTAGCCAGACTTGCTTTGAGGAGAAGACTGAAGATATTGAACTTGCCTGACTAGAAAGAGAAAATAAAATGACTACTTCATTGCCATATATATCTATGTACATGCACACATACACACACTGCTGTATGTTAGATTGTCAAAGCACTCACATTGGGGTCAAGATTGGATCTTTTCTGGGTGGTAAAACACTAAAGGCATAAAAAAGCAAAAYAGGCAGACTGAAATGACTGTTAAGGTAAGAATAGCAGAAGCTTTACCGTCCAGGTGACTTGCACTGTTGTGGGTGTCAGCACTACAGGATTATGGAGCCGTACAATGACATCTCCCAGCTCCTTCTGCACTTGCCTGTGATCCACACCTTGTGCTGGGGGGCTGATATCTGCAAGGCACACATATGAAAGCATTACTTTAATGAGAAGTGGTATACATGGCATCAATAAAAATTACTGGGTAGCCTAATGACCTGATTCGAAAATCCTTTATAGTACTGTTTTTTAAAAAAATACAGCACTAAGGTTAAAACACAAGTTCCAGTGAAAATCACATAATGCAAACAAACCACTCACCTCTAGACACTTAAAAAATAATGAAATATAAACATGTTTAAAGGAGTATTCTGCCTAGATGGCAAAGTCTTCTCAGCTCTGGTAAGTGATGAGAGAGATGCAATGTTCACTAGTTCCAAAATACTCAGATAATAATAATGCTGCCCAGATGTCTGGAACCAAATAGGTTAGTATAACTGAAGAAAATGAACAGTGKTTTTTTTTATTTTGTTAGAGCACACATGACATTAAGTCATTATATGTTTCCAAACTTGCACTAAGCTTCCTCTTTCCACATGCCATGCACACAAGAAACCATACAGTAAAAATAGCATTTTCCTCTGCAAAGCAAATTTTCCCTTTACAGACATAGCTAATGAAATCTAGCRCAAATATGAAAAAAAGAAAAAGATTTAATTTAGGAAGCCAATCTGATTCTCATCTAGTAAAAGGCCAACAAAAACAAACTACCACAAAAATTTTCTCTTCAAGATGATGTGCCCTTCAAAGTGTGTGGGGGAATTGTTTCTTCCAGACAAAATCTAATTATAGCGATATTCAAAAAGGCCTGATAAATTATGGTCATGCCTGTCAAGCTATCTCTGAATTCTGCTTGGGATTCAATAGTCAAAGACAGTTCCTCATTTTTTTGACCAATACCATGTCCTTGTGAAAAGAATACATACATAAAAGTTTTTTCCCCTTCTGATGGACTTAAATATGCGAGTAGGTATCATGTGATTTCTTTTTACCTTCTAAACACTATTTAAAAGAAGTAATAGTTGCCTTAAATGTGAAACATTTCAATATAACAACTGAGTTTTAATCACGTATGTCCAGATTTTGAAAATATTTTTTGATGATCAATAAATTGGGTTCATGATTGTGGATTGTTATGGGTTCTGAACCATCAATAAACAATATTGCCATAGGCTTCTATTGATATCCAAATTAAAATGGATCCATGGATCTCCAAAGGGAATGTAATCCCAATATGAGTGTCAGTGAAGGTGCTTGTCTAGCWAATTATGTTTATTCCAAGCAACCAAGAAACAGATATTATAAAATAAAWCTGTAAGACAGCAACTCAGACTGGTCTACAGGATGATAATTTATGCTCYTATCCACAACAGCCACAATCCTTGGTACAAAATACCTACAGTTATCCATGGCTACATTTTAGGTTGTTATCCTGTGGTATACAGCCAAAGTACCTGTATTCCCTCAGAGGAAAAGACATTTCCACACAGTATGTTTACATGAACAGCATTTCATCATTTTAATGGAACACATGTCCTGAAGTAACATGGACTAATAACAGTAAGAGATGAATGCCAGAATATACACTTGAAAACATATGCATGTGTGATTCTCCCAGGGTAATGTCATTTTCATGTTACTAGGAGGCTCCTGGTGGAAAAGCAGTTGATCTAAGGGTATCATTAAGTACTGGAATAACAGAATCAATGACTCAAACAAAACTTGTTCAAGAAGCTACATCCTAACCACAATTGAATTGGTTAGGTTTTTTCTCTAACCCCTCTTTTATCATCATTCAATGAACATACTGAGTAGTTTGCTATTAATTTAGATTTCAGAGATAGGAATACATATATTTTTTTGAAAGTGTTTTTTAAGTAGATGGTGTCATCAATTAATAATCCAACAAGAAATCAACTCCTTCATTAGAAGAGTTACTGATTTCTCTGTCCTGATTTCCCTTAAGTCATATAAGGTAAAACTTTTGAAAGTACCTGATTATCTAGTTGTAGATCACTGGTGAAAATATACATGAAAACTTAAAACATGTATCTGCTTTACTAAATACCAGGATATTAAATGTTCAGCTATTAAAGCTACTACAGACACCTGTTGCAAATTATTATTATATAGCTCTGCTATAGCTGCTTTGTTATTTCTCCATGGCCACTGTGAATAGGCTTTCTACTGTGTGTCAGCTTCTTCTGTGAGYCTGAATTGAATTCAGGCATAATTAGAAATCACATCAAAACATTATGTTAATTTTCAATTGATTTTATGATTTAATTCTATTAAACTGCAGGCTTGCAAAGAAGCTATAAATCCTGTACATGTCTCAGTGTGCTTGACTGCTAAACAGCTTCTGGAAATGGAAGCTGCAACACATGCTGTAGCTAATTAAAAGACATGTTTTTACTGAAATCAAATTGCTTGTCAGTATGTCAGATAAAAAGTCTATACTTGACACTCAAATGCCAAACAAAGTTGTTTTTTTTTTAGCTAGGTGATAAGTTATGCAGACTAAAAGGCTGTTGCAATGAAAAGCATGAGTCACCCTATAATAATGGGAAAATAAGGAAGAAGAAAACTTGTGATACTCTATGGACAGTCAGACCACGAAATCCCAGCACAACTCACTCCTCCAGCTTTTCAGAAGGCAGTTCTGTTTCTCCTTTTCCAGACATGATTACTATTTTGAGGATATTCAGGACAGATTTGTTCAGTACTAGGCTGGGATGAAGGAGGAWGGATGTGATGGTTATGTGATAAAGAAATATTACCCTACTCTTGTTTATCTTTTTCCATCCAGCAAAGGACCCAAACAACTCACAATACACATGCTGGAGACCGACTGAGGATGTGCTGTCTGTATGCAACGTTAGACAACAATAAACAGAGACAGAGGATTTAATTTTAAATTAACTGTRACAGGAGCTTTTAATTTGCACTCAAAAAATTATGATTCCAAAGAATTATGAATTCTTGTATTATGATGTTTAACATAGAACTACATTCTTGAATGAAGTATTCAAGCAATGCCTTGTCAAAGCCAAAACAAAAAAATCAATGCTGTGAAGAGAAATTTGTTTGTGGCAGATATATTCATTTAGAGCTTGATGCAATGTGAACAGAATTCAACAGTTGATTCAATAGCAATGGAGAATCACAGCTACCAATCCTATCATCACCCTACAAATAACGGATGTCACTTCAGCTTTCCCTCCTGGTTTTTGCAGTGGATTAATGCAAAAAAAATCAGAAATGTAGGTATATAAATAGAAGGTCCATACCTTTCTCAGAATAACGTCAATATATTTTTAGCATACAGATACCTTAATTTACATGAGTTCTSTGCCCAAATGTTGGATCAGTTTAACCAACACACTACAGATATTTAGTGTATTTCTTTTGTTTAAAACTGATTCTGAACACGGCGTCTGCCTGTCATAAGCACTTGTTTTCATAGTATATCCCTATAATAGTAATGGAGAGGAAGAAAGGACATGGAAAGAAAAGATACTGAGGGAGGAGGGTATTCAGAGTTCCCTTCAGGAAAGCTTGGGTAACTCCCATTACTTTCAATAGAAACCAGGGGCACATAGAGTCTAAGTGAACTGCAAACCAAAAGGTCTGCACTGTAGAAAGGATTAAAGAGGTGACCTTTCTCTCCTAAGCCMCAGACTGCAGCAAACATTGGACTACTTTTATCTTTACTGGTTCAGCTCAAATCRTGATTCCTACAGTGAGTGTGCTAAAGCCAAATGGCCAGAATGACCTAATGGTCAACTCTCAGGTCCTTCTTGCTATTTTAGCTCAAGCACATAAACCTTTGAACTCCCCCTCACCTTGAGTTCGGACGGGGTCKGACATAGGGCTGGGGTCGCTCAGCCCCTGGGAGTTGATGGCTCTGACCATGAACAGGTAGATGGTGTTGGGGCGCAGGCCTCTCACAGTGTACAGGGTGCTCTTCACGTGGTTGGCCACCGTTTGCCAGCTATTGCTCACAGACTGACTGCAGCGAGAAAAGATTTGCAGATTATAAACTAATACAAGAGAAAAAGAAAGAACCTGTTTTGCAACCCAAGATCAACTTTAAATACAGAAAAAAGTAGTAAAAGCAGAGTGAAATTAAAAGTATTTTCTTCATTAACTCATCTAGACGGAGTAAAAAATTTAACGTGGCTGTCAAAAGTATTTCTCCTTGCAAAAGAAGTAAAACCTTTTGCTATGTCTCTAAAATAAATACCTGCAAAAGGMAAGGATGGAAAGTTGTAAAGTAAATTTGAATGATAAACAGCCTATTCTTGAACAAAAGCCTTAGAAAGGAAAGTTCTGTAAAAAGAATAATTTTCTATACTGCTAAGTAAACTATGTCAATAAATTGTCATTGGAAGCAAAGTACTCTCCTTGAACTAAATTCACACTCAAAAAGAATTTTTCAAAACATGCTTTGGAATGGAGCAAAGTATATGAAAWTTTTTTCTGTCACTACATTTTCAATTCAACATTATTATAATTAGATTGCAATCCACCATATGAAAAGATTTCAAATGTGATTGTTAAAATAGCTTTTAATGAAAATGTCTGGTTTTTGTAAAAGTTATTGATGGGATGCCATTAAAGCTTATCTAGGGTGAAACATCAGAAAAGTTTAAAGAGAAAATTTTATTTTACTCTGCTTTGTTGTATAGCATTGATAAGAAAATTTTAAATGTATGAAAAAGGAAAAGGAAAGCTAYAAGATTTACGTTGTCTCAACTGCTTCGTTCATGCAATGCATAAAGAGTAAGTTCTAGAACAAAACCTACAAACTGCAAATAGAGTACTGTTCTTTACATATAGTATTTGAGCTAAAATTGTAATGCATATTATTATGAAAAATTCTTGCATGAATTTTAACTTACAGATGGTCTGAAGTATTTGTCATTTCTTTAATATCTGGATTAAAGTACATATTTAAGAACATGTGGATTTTCAAACTGAAATGTAACCTACAGACACATGTCAGAGTATGGCCTGTGCTCAAACAACCTTGTTGAACTGGAGCACAGGAGTTCTTTTGTGCCACACAGTCATTGCTGCTGTGTGGAGGGGAACACCTGGATTATTTTCACCCTCAGGCTGCAGGATAAAATCCTAAATTATCAACACTGGTCTTTTCAGTTAAAAGTTTTCATCTATCTAAAATGCTAAAAAAATAAGAATTTAAAGAACTTTGACTCCTTAACAGGTACTGCTTTAACAAGAGCAGGAATTAAAGTTTACAGAGAGGCTTCAGGAATACCCATTTATTTTCATATTATCTGTACTGTGATAGCCAAGAACCAGCAGCATTCCCTCAGGAGACTTTCACTGATCATCAATGTTAAAGAAAAAGTAACAAATAATTACTACACTGTTCTGTTATATTCCTGTTGATCTGAAGAAATAGATGTCCTCCAATTAATCACTTAGAAAAAAGTGATAAATTTCCAAAGAATCAATGTAAAAATATGAATCAATGCCTTCTATGGAGTTGAGTCATTTAATGAACTTCCAGTGATATGTGTAGAGTCCAAAAGAACACCACAATACCAGGAGAACAGCTGGTACCAGTGTTTAAGCAAAATTATAAAGAAGCTTAAAAGTGGTGTAATTCACATACCTAAAAGCCTCAATGATATATGCACTAGCTGGTAGGCTTCCAGGGGTCCCTGGCTGCCAGGACAGGGTGACGCTGTTCTTAGTGACATCAGTGACCTGAGGCTTGGATGGTGGCCCAGGGAGGTCATTTACATCATAACTTTTACTGACTGCTGCTCCACCGGATTCTGTGAAGGACAAATACAAAACAATTACTTTTTATCCTTGGTTGTATAATTTGATCAAGGTGGAAGATCAAAACGAAAAACATGGCAAACATCTGCAAAATCAGCATAATGAATGTTCTTAATCTAGAAAGAACTAAGTCAACAAGTGCATTAGTACCACATGCTTTTGTATGAAGAGGTATCATTCTTTAAGTATAACATGAAAGAAAAAAAATGCAAAACTCAAAAGGTTATGCATAAATATTAAAAAAAAGATAGAAATAAAAAAGACAGTAATAAAAAACTCAGCTTGCTGAAATGTACATAAAATACCAAAACCTGCAGTACTCATAGAGAGCACTTTGGACTTTTCTTGCCCAAATCAATTACTGCATAAATCTACATTTTATTAATATTCCTCCTAGAAGAATTAYAGCATACTGCTGTCACTGGGCACAAACACAAAAACTGTCACCCTGCCATTGGGTATTATGAGATAACAGCAATGAAATGCAAGGTGTTTGAAGGAACACAGCCTTCTCACCCAAAACTTTTCCATGCCAAGCCCTGAAGTTCTAGAACAGATGATTTGACTCACACTGCTCTCCTATGATCTGCCCTTTCCTCGTGTGCCAAGTGGAACACAGCCCTGGGCACCGCTTACCTGTCACCTCCAGCACAGCACTCCAGGACGTCTCCCCACTGGAACTTGTAGCAACGCAAGTGTAGGTCCCAGTGTCGGACAGCTGGACATAAAAAGGGCATGAGGGCAGCTTTAACAACCTTTCAGAATCAGCTGAGTTTAYTCCAATTTTCTTTTTCTAAATGATCCTTGCTAAGAAGGACTTAGCCTACATTTTACACCAGACTAGAAGGCACCAGACAGTTTCAAGCAATCATTTAATGGTGGCTTGCTTTTAGAGAACTATAATAAGATTACTTGCTTCTAATATTTTACTAATTCTAATTTTCATATCGTTAATGGTACTTTAAATGCTCCAGAAAGGATGTTCTTGACAGTGTCAGTGTTTGCATTGCTTCCAACAAATGCAGGTGAAATCAGCTAACAATATAACAACAATTRAGCTCTTAGAGGGTAAAATCTCAGCATTCATTATCCCATGATGACCAAAGGTACAACTTCCAGTGCCAGGAAGGATGTTACATCACCTTAGACTCTTAGGACMGATAAAGTAATTTCTGTACAGGCCACCACACATACAAATGCTGCTGAGATTTAACAGTGGTTCTTTCTACACAGACAGTCCTCCAAGCAACTTCCAAACACCAACATTAAAGTAGATCCTACACCACGCTTACCTTTCTTCTGTTTCACATGGGATTTTATTTTAGGCTTCAAAGGCCCTTTGATAGCAGAAAAAAAATGCATTTGTATAAAACTATTGTGATTCCCCTGTCAATTCAGCTATTTTAAATTTATTTGGGGAAACTGCTTTGAATTAGATTTCCAACATTAATCTAATCACTGTATAAATTGTTTTGGTTTGGCAAATTTRCCAAGGGTTTTCCTATTCCCTATTTAAATTTAAAATAAAGATTTCTGAGTCAAGAACTAGTGAAGACTTCTAATGATGGATGGAAAGTGGTAACCTCACAAAGCACAAAATATATGGAGGAGCTCTCCTTCCACAATGCATAAGACATTGTAACCTGAAGGTGGAAGCAGAAGAGGGTGAGTGCTGATTCTAGTGATTAAGAAGAACTTTATTCACCATCACATGACTTGATGGAAAGAGAACTGTATCCAAGAAGCTTTATTGGACTTAAAGGAATTGTAATGGGTTTTCTGTTAAATGCAGATTGGCACTCTAGCATATGACCTTATATGTCACTCTTCAAGAAGAATCTCAAGGCAAAAAAGCAAGATGTTCTTTAGACTACTTGCTGAAATATATTTTAATTGATTTTTAGCTTTGTCATATATTAATTGTATTGCTATTTTCTTCAMATACACTGAGACTGCAGTGTACCATTCTTAGGGGAGGAAGCAACTCATTAATGCCAGCTCAGTTTTCTGAATGAGCGTAACTTGCATTTCAAGAGATGGTTTTGTGCGTGAAATACAAGCAATAATAAAACCCCTCTGACAGTGGCTCAGAGACTCAAAATACAGCAGTGCTGCTAATGAAAGACTCTTGAAAGGAGAGATTTTCCAGAGGAGAGGGTCTTATAGCATTCTAAAGAAGTGTTTTATTTCACTTCCTCTGAGATTTTATTAAATATATAATTCTTCATTACCTGATAATAGGGAATATTTCTCAAGGCCATGGTTCTCAACTTCATTTGTGTGCTACTGTGACAGATGGTGTATGGCATACTCAATGAGGTATGTGGTGTACACAACACAGTAACTTGAAGAAGGCAAACAACACATAAAGCAAGCTGGGGATACACTGCTTATTGCAAGTTATGGCAAATTATCTAACTTCCAGACTGTGGATGGATTAGATACAGACATAGTGTGTTGATAATTCAATTATTTATACTTTTTTTTGTACTATGGGGAAAAAAAAAAAAAAACAAACAGAGAGCTGAATGTGAAAATCTTTACTATTCAGCAAAATGAAGTTTTGTTCCTCAGTTAATGCAGGTGTCTAAYCCTGGTGTGGCACATTTCTATGGCAGAAGGGAGTTTTCCATCAGTGTTGACTTGTCTGAAGGACTCCTGAGTGAGTGACATATGTGAGTTTTTAGTTGTCTCTCTCAGGGCAACTGATGGACTGGCTCATCAGAAAAATCTCTMTGTTCATGATTGTTGCTGTTGCCATGTGACTGTTGTAGGCTTATGAATTATTTGATTGTGCTGTAACAGAAACAGCAGAAAAGGATCAGAGAATGGTTTGTGTTGGAAGGGACTTTAGAGATCCTCTGATCCCAACCCCCTCTGCCATGGATGCTCAAAGTCCCCTTCCAACTAAAGCAGGTTTCTCAAAGTCACATCCAACCTGGCCTTGAACAGGGACGGGGAATCCACAACTTCTCTGGAAAYCTGTTCCACTCCCTCATCACCCTCACAGAGAAAATGTCTTTCTGACACCAGAAGGGTGAGGATGTGTGGATGGCAATTATTAATTTATTTTGAACTTGGACATGCAAGCATACTTGGATATTTTTGTGGGGTTTTTTTTTTTTTTTTCCATAGGAACTGGGTCTAGTCCTTGTTTAGGTAGATCCAAGAGAAAACTTAAACTTTTCTCATTTCAATCCATGTTTAACTCATAAAATTTGCAAGATACAGGAGAAATCTGGGGTTTAGTGTTCTGTGTAGTTTTTATTCTTAAATCTAAACTGTGCACATTTCTGACAGAGGCATTTCTGAAAAGGTCTTTCTGAGCCTTTAAGGAAAATTGGTTTGCAGTGAATGAGCCACTTAAGGATCAATAAAAGCCTCATGACTTTCAGAACCACACTCACTGCTAATACTGTTTTCTTCTCCTCTTGCAAGCAGTTTTTTGTTTCCTTCAGTTTACAGACACTGCCTCTAACAGTGAGATTAATGCGCTGGCACGATTCAGAAGCAATTTCATTGTTTGCATAGCAGCATGCAGACAGGTATCCCAAGAGCTTCTGCCTCGTGGACACTCCACAGAAGCCCATCATCAATGCCTGAAAGTCTGTTTGAAATCACTAAGCTTCCACCTTTAATTGCTGCTTTCTAACACTACTGGGGAATCTTGACTATTCAAGCGCACTCTTTAATCCCGCTCTACAGGAAAAATGCATTAACCTTCATGGCCTAAACCTGCCTTCAGCCCAGGGAGGAAGGATAAATTGTTTACTCAAGGAAAGCTGGTATAAATTTTTTAATAAATTCCATTTTGTTTCAAGGAAGTTCACAATTCATCTATGAACACTGATGAGATGGTATCAGAGAACAAAACTGCTCTTTATGTCTTGTCACTRGAAGCTATGTTTATTGACATATTTTTGGATGGCAAAATTAAGTRCAGACATTTCTTCTGAGTAAATTAAATGGTTTCTGAAATTGTCTTTAAGTTCCTGACAAATAAATACATTTAAGTTACTATTTTTCCATATGCACGTTTGTCCAAATAAACACAAATACACATCTTTGAACAGGTAAAAATTAAAACTAAAAGAAAGGATTAGTGATGCAGTATTATAGGATATTGTATTGTCTAAAAATGTAAATATTACAATTAGTATTTAATTTTTAATAGAAATCTCTTTGCATACAGCTGCATGTATGTTAAGGTATTAGCTGCCTTTTCCTATTTGCAGCCTGGTGGAACATTTCCAGGAAGCACAACACCAGAATAAATCAGCCAGTTTGGGACTGACAAGAGCTGTTGATTGAGAAAGTACATGGTCAAACCCTGATGARCTCCAGATCGTGTGTTAGCACAAGTACTTGGAAAATTATGATCAGGTTTTGCCAAGGAACTGCTCAAAGTTTTGACAGAGAGGCCAACRGCTTCATGGTATGACCAACTGAAAAGATTAGGAAGGACTGTCCTCGTATTTTTCTATCCACTCCCAGCTCATGAGTTCTATGGCAACACAAATRAGATTTTAAATATCAATTCTGTTTTTAGAGAATTCTCATGGGAATAYCTGAAGACAATTTTGCTCTTCTTCCCCCTCCTACCCATCTTTCTGACACAATGTTAAAGAATGGATGTTGCCTTAGTGAGAATTGCATAGTCAAAAAGACAAGTCAACTTTGAAGACAACAGGAGGATGGCAGAGTTGCCTGAGGCACACAAGAAGAGCTCAAAACCGGCCGTGTGAAACCCGTCATGCTCATTTTGCTGCCATCACTCACCCGCAGYGATTTGATCTGGAGCGTCCCCTGGTCCTGGATGGATGTCCGAGAGTCTCGACCCAGGAAGGTGAATCCTTCCTTCAGCCAGCTGATGACAGGGAGGGGGTCGCCGGTGGCCTTGCACTTGAGCAGAGCTGTGCCATCCACCGCCAGCGTCTGGTTGACAGGGCCCTGGAGGATGATGGGCGGGGGCCGATCTGTCAAAACTAAACAGTGGCACAGGCATTGGCATCCACATCTTTAACCATCCTCTGCTGCTGCTGGGAGCCCCATTCTGCCACGCACCACCAATTTTAAGAGGCTGTTTGAAGTCAGCCTCTAAGAGGCTAAAAATATTATTTTTGGAGGACCCACAGGTAGAAGTTAACAATCACCTGGCATATTTGAAAAGCATTTCAGCAAGAGTTTTATTTCATCACTGCAARATACCACCTAGAATATATCTGTTAGCAAAGATCATCAAATAACCATGTTATTTGGTTAAAACAGGATGAAAAATAAGCCCTTGATTCAGAAAGGCATTGAAGTGCATCACTCTTTTCTTCCAACTTGGGAAAGCACTTAAAGCACACCTTTGATGTCACMTCAAAATGTGCTTAATTGCTTTCCCAATTTATGGTCTAAAAGAGAAAATCTGCTAAGTTAAAAGTGAAACACTATAGCTATTCCAGCCTTGGTACCAACCACATCCCCCATTCCTACTTGCAAGTTTTCATCCACAAAAATATCTAACAGCTACACAAAATATTTTCATAATCTGAGTGATCTAAATGACTGTACTGCTCTTTCCAGCAGAGAAAAGCTCAACCTCAATCACACCATTTAACAGCTTACTTATCAAGTCATTTCATCACCTTTTAAAGCCATGAACTCTTAATATTTTTTCCCTCATAATTTACATTTGCATGCCTGCGATACTGATGAAAGGACCCTGCAACCAGTCAGTGAGTGCATGGTTGCATAGAAGCTTCATTCTATGACCAGCTGGATACCTTGAAGATGAGGTAAAATGCTCAGTGTTCATTTTTCTTGAAAGACCATTTTTTCTTAAATAATTCTGTTGCTGAACTTATTCTCTGAGCCATCTGTTAAGCAACAAATATAACCTTTGTTTCTAAAGAAGGTGTTTATACAAAATGAATGTGAAATACTTGAATATAAACAAGGCTAGGACTCCTGCATAAAAACAGTATAACTGAACTGAGAATTCTTTTTTTTTTTTAATGTATTTTTATATATTTCCCAGCCACACTGCTGCTGTTTTAAATCTTTGAACAAATGAACAATTGTGTGATTGGTATTAAATACTGTAGCAGGCAGGATCAACATCTAAACCACCGTAAATTGTGCTGCCTCTGCTGATGTCACTTGAGTTTGAATCATTTATTCTAGGTGAGAATCTGTTTATTATGGTCCATACACAGCACCTGAYTCTTACAATGAAGTGAAAACAAATTATTATCAAGCAATATGGTTTCTGTTGCATTTGAGCTGCTTAAGATGCAAATGTCTGGAACATTCAACAGATCCAAAGTGCTTTCATTAAGCTAATTAATAAATAAAATATATCAGGGACATGTTAGTGGTACATTTTATGCCTGAAATAATTGTTTCTGAAATTTTAATGTTGCAAAAATACTACCTACCTTTTTCTGTTAACAAGATTCACAATGAATAGAATCATYAATATTATCAGAATCACACCCTGGAGTGTGAGTTCATCCCATTTAATGAAATTGATATTGAAAATAGAAAGCCAATACAGATTTTGAAACTGAAAATAGAATGTAAATTATTCTGTAATACAGATTATTTCTTAACACCAGAATGTGAAAGCTATTTTGGAAATTGTGAAATATCACCCACTGAACTCAAGAGATAGGACAGGAAACAGTAGAYAACAAAAAGAAATCTAATGCATTTTCACCTTGACACAAAATTTTTAATCTCGTTAAGGTTCCTTTTGACTACACAGTTCAGCCAAAAAAATTGATCTCAGGTCACATGTACTATCAGGATATCTCCAGCATGAGTRTATTAGCTGTGCAAATTATCCTTTAGATTTAATGTAAAACAGCAARCCCCAGTATTCTAGGTAACTAAAGATTAAGGAAAAATAACTATTTAAATTGCTAGCTATTCCACTGCAGTTATTTGCTTCATCTAAGTGTCTTTCAGATGTGTAGCAATGTAGGTATTTTCAAAACCTACTGCATTACAGATATTGTTCTTTGGCATGTAATTAGTTTTTTTTACAGCCCAAATGAGGAGCTCATAATCCTTTAAATAGCTCTGATCAATAGTGTAATTGAAAGTCTCCTGGCCAGAAGGAATCTTCATTTTCAAGGGTGTTATGGGTGAAAGACCACTACAGGTTTCCATGACACTAAGGCTAAAGGTTAAATGAACACTTAGGGTTTCCACTGATCTGTGAACGGCTGTATTGTCTTCACAGCTACGACTTGTAAATCTTCTCTAAAACATGTGTGTGCTTGTATTCCTACTACCTAGGACTCCTCATTAGCAAGGATCCAAAACTTGGTTAGAGGATAAAAAAGATATATCCTAGACATTCCAAAAMCAGAGGGATAGTGAAAAATAGCCACAAAATGGTGAGGAGATTGTGAGTTGCTTTTAAAACAATTTAATTACTTTGGTTTTTTTCATTTTCAGGGTTTTCTCCCAGTTGGAAAMTTCTACATTCATTCCAGAAAAACATTTTGTGTGGCTACAAACACATTTGTGTGGTAAAACAGAAGTTTTTGAAACTAATTTCAAAATTAATTTAATTTTTAAAATGGTTTTGAAACTGTTTGCCAGGATCCATACATCTGCAAATTCCAGTAACCAAAAAATTAAGAGATTCTTTTTGTATTAAAAATTCATCTTCATTTTGGAGCACATTATAAGAAAAGAACAAATTCTATTTGTTCATGAACAGTTTATTCATTAAAAATTCGATTTGGWTCAACTGAAACAATATTTAAATTTGGGAGGAATGTAATAATTTTGGGCCAAATTATAATGGCTAAAATAGGAGAAAAATAAAATTAAATCGTTACTTTGGCACTTCCAAAGTCAAAATTTTTAAAAAATTCCTCGTGAATAAATGGAAAGTAAGGAAGTTAAAATAAGGAAATTCACACAATGAACAGTCATGATAGGGCAGGGTGCTCTCTGAAAGGTGGAAAAGGAGCCAATCCCCCATCTGTCCTTTTTTTTTTTTTTTTTTTTGACTAAAGAGCATCACAGGAAGCTGTGAAATTGTTCTGAGTTTCTCCTGTTTGATACTGTTACCCTTGCAATAAAACATGTAATATATATTGGATGAAGGTTAAGACCCATGGTGACCAGATTTGTAGATAAGTAAACTGAGAATGACCCTAATTTCTTCCAAACCTTTATTAATAAATTTTAATAATTATTAAGGGGAAATTAAGATTTTCTCCAAAATATTCTGTGGATGATTGACAAACACTAACACAATACTAATGGTAAACTATTTATTTTATGTTGAGCACAGAGATGGAAGCACTTGGTTTATTTGCACGATCTGTCATTTTGAGACTGTGAGCTGCATATTCATTTCTCGTGTTTGAAAGGATTGCTAAGATTGTTCAATTTTTAAAATGATTTTGCTTTTCCAGATGTGCGTTAGAYAGTGAATTACATGATAGCCTTTCAAGAAAATACAAGATTTGAATTTCAAATACACTGAAGGCTCTTAGCACAGTCCATAATCAGCAAAATTATCACTCAACTCAGCACATTTCATCACAGCTAGTAATCTCTTCTCATGAACACTTGAGTTAAAAATATTTCCAGTAAAGACTTGTAAGTGCAAAAATGTAACAACTGAAACACTGCTATATATGGTATAATTAAGCACTTGTTTTTCTGCACATGACATGTTTTCATTCTGTATTGGAACTTCAATTGGATCTAAATTACTCTGGATCAAACAAAAATGTGTTCAAAATGAAAAAGATGGCTCGCCACTATTATTAAATCATTAACCAAACAGAAAAATTCTGGGCTAGGAAGTAAAACTGAAATCACCAGCCAAAAACTAGAACACTAATGTTTAAGCATATAGCTAGCACGCACAGTGTTTATCTTTTATTATATTCTTAAATCCATTAAATTAGATTTCCCTACTGATAAAAGTCATTAGCTCCCATGACTTCTGCTCAGCATCAACCAAAACAGATTATTTCGACGTTTATGGTTAACTTCCCAACTAAAAGCAATTAAAAAATATCTGTGATCTAATGGTACATTTATTCACATAATCTCAGCTCCATGATGTTGTTTTGGCACTTTTCTTCTGACCTCACCCGCCCTTTGACTCTGCGATGAAATGGTATTTCTATAAAGCAATCTTGTATTATTTCATAATGATTATGCTGACAGTAGGCTCTGGAAAGCATTTGAGGAAGGCAGGCCTTGCACTCCTCGAGCAGCAGAGTTACCAGCTAATGCTTCCTCGAGCAATGGGGAATGCACAATGCTGCCTTTAATCAGAATTAACCGGAGATGAGCTTGCATTTCAGCAGGGGACACTTCCCCTTGGCTTGTTAAACAAACTAATGAAAATTCCAAAGAGATCAATTAGGATTTATTTTTTTTCCCAACACAAGAAACAGATAAAGATGGACCAAAGCCCTTGGCTGTCAAAAGGAAGATTTTCTCATCACGAGCATCCTTGAACCTGACTTGATCCACTCGGCGCCTGTTGCTGTAAATCTGTGCAGCATCAGCAGGTGTGACCATTAACAGCTCAATGTCCTCCCAGCCAATGTTTTTGTGTTCTATTTATTCCAATCACAGTCATGGCCCTGAATCAGGCAGCACTAAGGACAGATATTAAAAAATATTGCCTTTCCATTCCTTTTAAATGACCTTTTAATCTACATTTAAATTTGAATTGAATGAAAATGCATCATTTTGTCATAGACCATGGGAGAAAGGACYTAAAGAGATGGAGGAGCAAAGCCAAGTCTTTAGTCTCCAGAAACTACAGAAAAGCAATGTGCTTGAAAAAATGCAAGGATAAGGCAGAAATAATTTCCCCTTGTCATAAAAATATAGGCAGCTTTCGGAAAACAAAGAAAAGGCATCAAATTAATGCTCAAACCTCTATAACACGAGCCTGAACCTCTCTACCTGTCACTTGTGATGAATATGCTCTTGTGAAAAGGCAGATTATTCAAAATTAGACATCTTTTCAAACTTTCATGGTGCAGGCAGGTCTCTAAGGGAACAGTAAAAGTAGACCTCTGCATATAACAGTTTTAATGGCAAAAATTCATCAAAGTCTGTCAGGAGATATTTAATGTGTCAGTTAAGATAAGGAATAATGATGCTGGGGAATGCCACAATCGCTYGGTATAAGAGGAATTCTGTTGTTTTCTTCACTAACATTAACAGATGCAAACTGCCTCCTACCCACAGTAGGATGAAGAGAGATATCAACAGGATTCCTGACATATGAAAAGGATTCATGTTCATAGATGGGAAACCTCAAGACAGAATAAATTTGAAACTCAAAAATTTGAAAAAAAAAAAGCATCAAGACAGACCACATAGTGCTTTTCCTTTCCCAAAAACTCTTCTCTACCTATGGATTTTCATTACCTTTTTCACACCTACCATACTGAGACATTCTTAGAATACAGCTCTGAGTTAGGTGCCTTATTCATGGAGGGACATAAGGGGTAGATATTCTATACAATCTGAACCAACCGTACTCCACCACCTTCAAACAACGGTGTTAAATTAATTGAGCTAAGGACACATCCCCTTGCTTGTTTAAGATAGAACTGAAGACTGGTGGGAATTGAGATACCTTTTTTTTTGTACCCCAATTCACTGCTTTAACCACAAACTTATTCATTCTCCATGATTTTTTTTTTTGTGGTCCTCTCTTAGCTCTAGCAAACCAAGCAACTTCATTCCTCACCAAGCCTATTCTAAGCTGGTTTGTCCTTTGTTGGCATTGTTAACAAGCCTTTGGAAAGCAAGCAAAAGGCAAACCAGACTTTGAYGCTTTTTTTACTCCATAGACAGAGACCTTTCTCACTTTATTTTCTATAGAAAATTGTCCATTCACTTGTATGATTCATGTGATCTCATACACCTTTATTTACACTGCTTTTGAAGTACTTTTGACAGGAAAAAAACAACAGGAATTTCTAACAGCTCACCATCAGTAACCTCCAGCTGAGCCTTCGCTAAAATGCTTCCAGCAACCGTCAGTGCTTGACAAATGTAGTAGCCTGCATCAGACCTCTGAATGTTGGTAATGGTGAGGTCCCCGGTTGGTGACACGGAATATCTGCTGTTGGGCTGCAGAGGCTGGTTTGGGAAGAGTAGATTCTGCAAAGACAATTCATCTCACATCAGTTCAAAAGCACCACTTTTCCTTCAGCTACTGAGACAGTGATTTTTCCTTAAAAGTACTATAAATAATCGAGGAGGAAAAGTAAGAGTGGTTCTGACTTTATGAACACATAGAGCTTTCCCTGCCTTGGGCAAGCCACAGTTTAAATTAGAAACAGCCTTTTGACAGCACACAGTGCTGTGYTCTGACTGGGGTGTAGGCGAGGAGACATTTTCCAACAATCACACTTGAACGATTTATATTTGTGRCACATTCGTCTCCATTCTGAATGTAATTGTAATAATATACTTACTTGGCTATCAAACCAGAAGGACATAACACTACAGTAAAATGCTAGAAATCTAACAGAAAAAAATTGAATCCTTGAGACTTGAAAAGTACAGCACTATTGTTTGACTGTGAACATGTTCTGGGGAAAGGAGGAAGCAAGAGTATAGCACAAAAGTAAAGCTGCGACRAAGATATGGGCGTGGCATGAAGTAGGAGAAACTGGAAGAGCATGAGAGCTTAAAGGAGAAGTAAAAGGAAATTAAAACTGTGATATACCAAAGGAGAAATGCAGCATAGAGCCTTGAGGGTGAAGAGAAAGGGTATTAATCTGATGTGGAAATCATCAGCGAGAAAAAAAAATAATTTCATGTAGGATAAGATATCAGTTAGCACAAAACAGGGAGATTAGTTTTTGCCTTTGGGCTGGATTGGAGAAAAGAGAGACGTCAATAAAAATAACTGGAATGGCTCTAGTAGTCATTGCATATGATGAAGGACTGAATGAATCAATACTACAAACCTGAAAAGGTTTTAGTGGTGAGAGCTGTGTTTTCAGGGAAAGCGTTATACCCTCTGGCACAGCTCTTGTGAATAAGTAACAGGAAAAGGAAAGTATGTGAAGAGAAGGTCAGCAGTATTGCCCAATGAGACAGAAAGGAGAACAACTTAAACAATAATTAAACAATAATAATTCCAGTAAAATAGGGCCTGGCTCTTATGTCAACTCAACAAACCTCTATGAAAAATACAGTTATTTGCATCAGGAATACCCCAAAACACTTTCACCACACTGTGATAAGGTTTCAGTCATTACTGCAGCCCTGCCTAACTCTGCTGTGCTTTCTTATGATGACTCTCTACTAACTTTTAAGCTTGTTGTACTGACTAAAAATAGAATCTAAAAGCGTAGAGTAGGATATTAAATGAATTTTGTGCAGATCTGTTTCTTCTGAAGCAGACCTTGGTGGTTTACATAAATTATTTGCAACTGATAAGCAACAAACTTCTGAAGAAACAAGCAAGAATTCAAACAAGRAACTAATTCTACTTTTAAGTGAAACTCGCACCTTTATTTCTATGGTTTTGGCAAAAAGAAAAATATATAYTTTAAGTAAGATCCAACATTCCTTAGTTGCATTAACCTACTGGATTACTTGTCACAGTAGCCTTTTTCTCTTAGCCCCTTTCAATGGCAATGTTTAAGACATTTAAATTAGCAAAGTTTCCCTCAAAAATCAATATACACCCAGTAAACCCTTCAGATACAACAGGAAACAAAGTGTTAAAATTCTCAAACAATTTTAGGGATTAAGTGGGTCTCAWATAATTGCCCAGTCTTCTGAACTGCCTTGAAACTTTCAGAGCAACTTCTGCCTGGCACAGATACCACTGGATGAGGGTATTATGAAAACTTCGGTAAATATTATGAGAAAGAGGAGAAATTCCACATAGCTGATCTTGACTTAATTTATCACTCATTATATGAAGTGTAAAAAGAAGCACAATGTAAAAGAGAGTGCAAGGATCAAGCTCCTARTTCTTCAGAGAAAAATAGCCCAGAACTCTCTTTATTGCTGCATTGGAAAGGGAATCAACCCTTCTTTTATCTTCAGCATAGGCTTCTCTGTTCTGGAAAGGTACCCTGTCCCAGTGAATATTTCACACATAGGAGGAGTTCAGCMGTCTCCTGACTCCTCCCTTCAAAGAGCAGATAACTATGAACTATAACTTGTCCTAAATGACAGTTCAACCCTTTAAAAACTCTTTTTGCAATTTCACTGTTTTAAATTCAMTGTTAGGTTGCTCATCAGGGCACAATGGTGGCATGCTGGGTCGCAAACAGAGGAACCAGAGTCATCCCTGATATAGTACCACTGAATTTATCTCAAGGAAGAGTTTAGTCCATGGAGTCTAAAGGTTACACATGCCCTGCTCTTGCTCATGTCATCGGCGGGCAGCTGATGGACTCTGGGGACAAGGCTGCCAAGCACAGAGGACCAGCTGTTTATACACGAGCTGGCATAAAAAATTACTCAGGAGGGAACAGCTCCCCTCCCTTCCAGCTGTTTGTGCTCAAAATCACAGGACTGAGAAATGGATTCACAACGAAAAATGTCCTACAATTACTGGAGTGGGATAACATGACTGTATAGCATTACTGTGAATACTGAAAGCAGTGCTGCAAACAGTTCCTCTAAAAGCAGAAACAAACACTGAAGGGACAAGCAACAATTTACAGCTGGGATGCAAAGGGGAAAAGTCATGGAATTGGGCAAAATTACCACCCTCCATTGGTATGATGATATACACTGTGTGAAAACTCACTCACWCTGTGGCATCCCACTGCAAAATCTGCCAAGTTACACATCGAGATGGCAACCCCAACCTGTGTTACTTCATTGATGATCAATTAAGAGTAACATGAGAATGCTGTAAATCACATTGAGACATGTTTCAAGGTTTGATTATAAACCATGCAAGTATCAATTTTTATGTTGCGTTTATTTGCCAAAAAAGACTATCCTAACCCTCAGGGATCTGGTTCTCAATATGGTAATTAATTTTCCAGGTTTGTAATTAAGCAGCTTTAACATGGTACAATCAGCAGGTAATAACATTCAATTAAAGACACAAGATGCATTTTCACCTTAAAATGTTTTTACCCTTGAAGTGATACCAATGGAAGAGGATAAAATAGAGTATTAACACTTTTCAATTACGCTAAATGACTTTAATCCTGAAAATGATGTCCTACTTTAATTAGAAGCTCTTCTCTTTATTACAGCATGATGGATGTCCACTTTATTAGATTCAAGTGTGACACTATAAGCTCACTTTACATAAACATTAACATGTTATTAAAATGCTCTACAAGGAAAGGGTTTGAAATGTTTGCTAGCACATCAGTACTTCCTACTTTAATTTCAATATGCTATTCTACTTTCCCCTTGGAAAAAACTGTCTCCTTARTGAGGCTCACAATACAAGAAAGCATCCAGTGCTTTTCCAGGATGTGATCCTTGGAGGCTAGGTCTAAGTTTCTCCAAATATTACATGAGAGATAGATACTGAATACTGAATGCTAAGATTACACTCAGACAAGCTTACATTCATGAAGTAATCATGTCGTGCCTTTGTAAGCCACCAAGACAGCAGAACACAAAATGCTGTCTGCCTGGTCCTGTCATTCCAGACCATTTTTACGATCTCCTGAGAATGTGAAGCAGAAGCAGATGGCACAGCAGGACATCTGTGGCTCAGCTCTTATTTCACGTTTTACCTGAGCTGGTACACACCATGCCTGCAGGAAAGAGGATGCTGYGCCATCACATTCAACTACTAAGCTACAGAAGTTTGTAGTGGCTGATGGCAACACCAACTGCTACCTCAAATGTTTTGCCTTCAAAAAAGATCAGGGAAATATTTCCAAAATGGAATCTGGAAATTTCTTGAGACAACCTTACTGAAGCAAGCATCTGTGTGCTCAAAACCTGTATCTGTATGCTCTGTGAGCATACCCAATGCAAATCAGCTTGCTGGATACATAGCTGCTTGATCATGTCTAGACAGGTTGTGAACTGTAATTACTGGCTCTGATTAGTTCAAAATTGAGTCATACCTTTTTTTAATCTACTGTGCCTGTCTCACCCACCTGTTTGTTGGGGGCTTCAGAACAGAAAGCCTTTAAGGTATACACTGTTGCTTTCTACACATCTACATAGCACTTAGCACAGGTTTCAACAACTGAAATGGCCTTTGTGCTCTTCACAATATTAAAAGGCAACACAAATTTCAGTAGAGAACAGTGATAGTTTAAAAAGACAAATTTCTGTGAAACATTAGAAAAATCCGTGAAAGGTAATGTAAATAAATTTAACAATACAACTATTTATAAAGACTTGAAAGACCTATAGGGTGCTTGCAACTTACCTGACTTCCTTCTTTTTGCCAGAAAACAGCTGGCTGGGGATTTCCTTTAGTTTCACAAGGAAAAGTCACAGTTCGACCCTGGGCTACAATCTGGTCTCGTGGTCTCACCACAAACTGTGGGGGAGCTACAAGGTAAGAAAAATCATGGTGTAAGTTTAGGATATTTTGCAAGGGAGAGATAGGGAATATTGAAGGAAAGAGACAACATTATGGAGATTTGTTTTATGTCAGAAGACATGACACCAGAAACATTCATTAGTATAGACAATTAATATATAAACAGAAACAACAACAGCGACAAGGAGAGCAGTAATATATGTGTGCGACATCCCCAGTTATTAAAAAAAAATAAAAAAAGGAAAGAAACATTACAACCATACATGCTATAGTCAATTCTGATGACAATAAATGCTAAAGAGCAGGAGTCAGGTGTTTATATTGCTGACTCTGGATGTGTTCTACTTTTGCTCTGGAAAGGTATCAACACCCTCTATCTTCTCCCACTTCACAGAGCTTGCTGGAGCTCTTGTGTATTGTGAAGWATGAATTAGGATAAACAGACTGCCTTTCTCAATCTGCTCCTTTGGACCTTTAAAAATGAGTGAGAAAAGGAGAGGAAGGTCTGGATGACAGCAAAAGAGCAGAAGTACAAGAGCTCCCTCACTCCTCTTACATGCAGTGTGGTCAAGAATGGTATGGGGAATTGTAAAAAGAATGGTTGCTAAAAGAACGTAAACTTGGAAAATCCACGTTTCAACTAGTTTAAAGACTAGAAGAAGCAAAAGTTGAAAGGTTAGTGGGCAGAGGTGAGTGGTGAGTAAGAAGGAATAGGTATTTCAGGAGATAAGGAAGCCACAAGGAAAAGAAAAAAAAGGAGACTAGAGTAAAAACAAGCAAGGAGAAGGACTGAATATGTTTTCAAGTAGCTGGTATTACGTGTTTGGTCACAGGGGACCAGAATGCACAGTCAGAAATGAACAATTTCTCAGAGAGGGGAGTAGTTTGACTTGCCTGGGGGCTAATGATGGAGAAAGAGAGTCAATGCTTGGTGGGAATGTGAAAGTAGAGAAAAGATGTTAATGAGCAGAAAGAGAGTGAGGAAGAAGGATTTGAGATAAAAACCTCAAAATCAGTAACTATGTTGAGCATGACGTAGTAGTGAACCAAACGACTTTTCTATGTGTGACATGAAACCTCTCCAGTCTTGGTTCATCACTGGAATTCACTGAAGCTGAATTTATTTCATTTGCATGTCTTAAAAATGTAAGCAGCATCTCCAAATATTCTTATCAAAGGACTAGCAAACTTTTGGGGCAGACTGAAGAAGAGGRAAARAAAAATAAAAAACCCCAAACCCCTCACCCTGCCCTAGTTTCCTTCTACTCTGCTATTGGTTTTGTGGYTGTGCAGGGGGATGGTTTAGGAACACTAAGCTTTTAGGTAAACAGAATTTAAGTGTTTTAGAAAACCATATTTTCAGCATTATAATTACAAACTATTTAATTAGGCACGAAGAGCAATCAAGAGCCAGCTTCCGATTACACCTGCTGACAGCACAGACACAATCTGCTCACTGCATAGAAACGTGAGCAGACCTGATTTTCTTGAAAAACACTTTGCAGTTATCTCATGAGGTACTTCCCAGGGCTTTAGAAATCAGCAGGAGTCTAAAGAGCACCAGTTGAGTAGGGCTGCCACTCTTAGAACAAGAACTGTAAAGCACTTAATAAACGTGAACCACAATTTAGAAGGTAGAGGATCTTCTGCCTCACATTCCTAAAGAGAAGTTTGGTCCACCTCTTCCTCCACCTAGGCAGGTGTAAATATGATGAAAGGGCAGGATAAAGGGTGAGGTGCCCTGTTGCTGCTTTTTTACAGCCATGTGTTTCCAGGTTTCTATAAGGTATTGCTGTACATACTGTAAAAACTGAACTCATGCCACACCACTCCTCAAATGCTGAGCTGCAGCGAGCCAYTTGGGTTTCCCTCACCTTGTTTTACCCAGCAGATCTGTGTGGCACCCCTGCATGTGCCAGGAAAGGGCAGTGTGGTAATCAGTGGGTGTTCGCTCATAGGAAGAGCAAGAGGAAAGACCTGTGAGCTGTAAAGCAGAAAYTCCCTTCCTGCAGATGCATCTTACACGAAGGCATCTCCATTTGACAGGAGCTGTGCATGTCTGACTCCTCTGTCTATGCAGGGTTATGTGTGGCCTCAAGACCACAATCTTCCCACAGTGACTCCAAAAACCTGGTGTCAGGAGACATCCCACAGATCAAAGCTAAGCACGATGGATGCCTAAATTCACTCTGTAGGCTTGCTGGGTGCACTGGGGGTGAATTACACAGACAGTGCCCTCAGGAAGCTCAACAGAAGCAAGGAGGGCATGGCATTTGCGTGAGCCTGTCCTTCAAATCATGTAACTGAGTAGATGCAAGGTAGGAAAGTTTAAAGGTTCATCTGAAACACTCTCACACACACACAGGTCTGCACTGTAAATCAATAATTCAGAGCTCACAACTGCATTTGTTGCTGTAGCAGACTTTTCAGGGATCAGTTTAAGGTAATTTGGTAGTCAAGGGACAATGAGAGATACACACCCTGGTTTCGACCTAGTTTCCAGTTTTTTATCTATCCCTAATTTTCAACATCTCTCACTTTCCTAAGGGCAGTAAAAGGTTCCTCTTTTCTCTTTTATTTTCTTCTTTCTTTTCCCCACAAACAAACAAGGAAAATAAATCTGCAGTGCAGACATGGACTGACCCTGTTGCTCTGCTCTCCCCCTATCACACACCAAGTCCTCTCCACAATTTGACATACTGGATGAGCAGATCTTTAGCCTCATAGTTACTAGGTCAAGTTTTCTAAAGACTCCAGCAAACAATGATGTAGAGTTAAGCAATAATATTTTTTCTAGCTTTGCTTTGCAGCCATAATTACTAGAAATTCACTATAAAAATAAATGAATCAGAGCTTTTACTCACATTAAATTGAGCACAAAATCAATTTCTTCAGCCAAACTATTTAATACCATCATTTTAAAGGACATGAGAAACATAATTTTTGAAAAGTGAAACTTTGCATGCGTTTTTTAAATTTATTCAAAGATGGGGTTCTATGATGAAGGAAACACTCATTTTGTTATAGTTTATTGTCACATTCAGCTATAGCTCTGTTTACAGACAGCYTCTGATAAAAATACCATTGTTCACAGCATTTAAACAATGTTTTCACTATATCAGTTTTATCTGTCAACTTCTAGTTGAATTTGAAAGCCGAAAGAAACAGTTAATAATTGCAAGAGTAATTCTTGGTCAAGTGTAACTACCCAAACACTAAGACTGTCATTATCCCCAGAGAATGCAGTGTGACCCTGCTCACAGACAGCAAGGCTTCTTTGACAAAATAAGCACGTGRGTTATTCAATTTTCCTAAAAAGAGAGGTCATTATGTTCACATATGGATGCTGTTTATAAAGACAGATAAATATTATTACTTCCATTTTGCAGAAGGGTTAAGTGAGATCATGACTTGCTCAAAGCGTAGCTTCAGTGGAACACTGGGCAAAATTTATTCAAGCCATTAGTGCTACATTGAAAGCAGGGGAATTTCTGAAACATTCTGAAAAGGCACCGTTAGGGAAGTAACAGCAGGCTTGATATTCTTCAGCTGTTAAGGTTTTGTGGTACTTTAATACTTAATTCAAGCTAAAYATTAAGATCCTTAGAAGAATCTGTTGAAAAAACTGTTACGAAGCAGCAAACTGAGTGGTGTGCCTATCAGACTATTGCTTTTTGGTATTTCAGATGTAACATTAACTGGATTGAAAAAAGCAGAGTGGAAAAACTCTTGTTTTAATTGACATCTGAAAATCAAAGACAGTGGCTCTAAAACAAAAATATATTGCTTGGATTCAGCAGACTAGCCAAAAGTATGGGAAAAAAAGAAGATTAAGATTATAGACATAATATACATCCATTGAAACTTCTTTTTTTTTTTTTTTTTTTGAGAAATTTAAATAGTACACAGTAAATTAGGTTTGATTTCTGGCAAATTATGCTTTGATACTGCATTCAGCAAGTGCTGGCTTCAATCAATGTCACACTAAAGCTCTGTTATGCTAATAGATGATATGGAAATCAGATGGTTGAACATGCATAGAAAGCACAGGCCATGTACGAGGGGGCTTTGAGATGAGGGGATGGGGGGACCCTAAGGTTAATCACATCATGTTCAGACCTGTTTTTACAGCACAGAACAGTATTCGACTGCAGGAATTAAAATGGAGATAGAAAAGCATGAGCAGTAGTGAGCATTACATTGTTCAAAATGGGAAGAGTGAGTTCTCTTGCACTCTTTGAGGATGCTGGTGATTTATGCATGACTGAATGGATCTTTTATGCTATTAATAAATGTATATGAAGGTAAACCCTGCTCCAGTGCTAAAGAGCTTTAAAAMAAAAGCATATTATTTCAAAAGGATTTCTCAACTCTACTCCAATTTAATAGTTAGCAGAATCTCTAATCTGATAGGATGGATTTCATGCATTTCTTCCYAGTACTGTTGCTGAATACTAAAGGTTACACGGAGTCAACAGCAGCTGATAAAGCTGCTGATGTAGAGAAGCTTGACTGAGACAGGGACTTCATCCCTTGTAGGTGAACTTGGGTCATCTGATAAGAAACATGGCAGGAGATTCAGAAGGGGAGGGGAAATTTCAAACATAAAAATGTGAATTCATAGCAAAAAAGCACATTGATCCCATATCAAGTACTAGCAACATTTTTCCCCAGTGACACAGTTTTCTCAGCTGATCTTGTGATTTGTTGTTGAGATTGAATTCAATGACTCTAGAGGAATTTTATTATTTTAACTTCCCCAGACCAGGTACCCTGAGGTTCATACATTTTATTGCGCATGTTAATTAAAAGGAGATATTGTAGCAAGTTTTTTTCTAGTGCTTCTACTGCAACAGATTCAATAAATGGACTAAGGCAGATTGTAGGAGGTTCAACAAGGCCAAGTKCTGGGTCCCATATTGGAGTCAACAACCCCAGGCAGCACCACAGGCCTGGGGACAAGTGGCTGGAAATCTGCCCAGCAGGAAAGGACCTGGGGGGTGCTGGT